CTGATTTGATTGGATTGGATTCTCTCTATGAAAACCATCAAATGTCATTCAGCTATTGAAATCTCCATTAAGATAACAACTCTGATGCTATAAAATTTTAAAATCCTTAGCTCTGATAATCCTTTTCCCTGTAAACAAACAAAAAAAATTGTAAAATCAGAAACATAAGTAAATTGGACGCCATGGTAGCCACGGATAGAGGACTCGAACTCGTCACTACGAATGTCTAGGGCACAGAGCAAGCTCGTTCCAGGTTTCGAGCAGTGTTCGAAAAATCGGCCTAGGCGCCAGGCTTTAGGACACCGACGCCAGGGAGTTAAGCGGCCTGGGCGGGTCGTGTGTCATTTTTTTTCCAAATGAAGACTGACGAAGCTTGCACTGGCAGAGGAATGTGGTGCGCGAGTGATATGAAGAGACAGAGAAACAAGTCCAATCTTCAAAATTCAAATACTCGGTCTTGAGCCTTTCTCTCAACTCAACCTTCGATTTTTTTTTTCTTTGGTTCCTGCTGCTGCGTTGATTCTATTTTTTTGTTGTTGCGCTTTTCTGTAATTGAAGTTCGCAAGGTCATATGAACATCCGAGGCCGTTTCTTAGTATGCCAGAAGAAGCCCAGCAGATAGTTCTTTAACCTAAGGCACACCTTGCAGTTTGGCATTGGATTACACCATGCTGGTCTGAATGACAAAGATAGATCTCTGGTTGAGGAGCTTTTTGCAAACAACAATATTCAGACATTTCTGTTTTACTCAGTAAGCATGAGTTTTTCCCTGAAAAACACATTAGGAAAAGAGAATATATAAAAGATCATTTTCTTACTCTATACACTTACTGATTAGGCATATGTATTGAATTATAGGTATTGGTTTGTACCAACACATTGGCATGGGGTGTAAACACAAAGAGATTTTCTATTTGGCATGGGGTGAACAAAGAGAAGTGTGAGGTTTAAATAGAAAATTTCAACACAAATCATATTACTTTATGAATATTTGCCTCAAATATTAATACAAGGAATCAGGTTGTTTGAGGTTTTGAATATCAGAAAATCTAATAAAGTCAATGGATGAAGTCTTGCAGTCCTACATCTAATCAATAAAGCATTTTCCTTTTTATTTTTTCAATACTCTACACCTATCTTTTCTTTTTTTGCTGTTAAAGTTCAGAACACCTATCATTTGCATTGCTGCTGTGACAATGATCCTCTTGTACTTAAATTTGGTGAAGACACAAGTTAAAAGCCTTTGGTTTTTATTATTTTGTGTCCGTAGTACAAAGTCATACATGAGCATAGTTTTATACAAATGTTTAATCCAGCTTCCTATGGCTTGGACAATATTGAACTTGAGTTTGATATAAAGTGGATAAGGACCGCTTAGATGATCCACATGTCAAAGCCAATATGCTATTTCAGGTCAGAGTTGTCTTCAACTATATGTTTTTAGAATAAAAACTTCATGTCATTTTCCTTTTTAATTCTCTCGTAGTTTTATTCTCTTACCATGCATGAATTCTGCATTCAGGCACATTTCTCGCAGTTAGAATTACCAATAAGTGATTAAGTCACAGACTTGAAGTCAGTATTGGATCAAAGTATGCGAATCATCCAGGCCATGAAAGATATATATATATGTGCTAATAGTGGGTGGATTTCAAGCTGAATTACTTGCATGCATCCTCTGCAAATGGTCGTGCATGTATTCTTCTTAGTAGTAGTACTTGCGTAGAATAAAAGACGAGTGCTAGTGCGAATTGGGCATTCTGCCCTGTTTATATTATTACATTCTACAGCCAGCATATTAGTTGATTAGTTAAAGATGTTAATCGGGGATGCTGAGCACCCTTGAATGTTGTTAGTCCATGCTTCTTTCCTGTATTGTTTATCTTGTATTTGTTGGAACTCATTGTTGTCCCACATCGGCTAGAGGGCCAAAGAGAAAGTAGTTTAAATAGAAATACCCCTCTCTAACTAACACCGAGGCCTTTTGTGATAAAACCCCACACCTGAGGACTGTGCAGGTGGTAAAGTGGGGACAGTATCGGTGTTGTTGGAGTGGGCCCTTGGCCCGTTAACCTGGAAAATTTGACATGGTATCAGGGCCAAGTTGCGGGTTCGTACTTGCCACGTGATGGGTGGGTCCCCGTTTGGCCCTGTGCGATGGGTGAGTCCCCGTTTGGCTCCACGTAGGCCAAAGGTGCCACGTGATGGGTGGGTCAACGTTTGGCCCCGAGCGATGGGTGAGTCCCTACATGGCTCCACGTGGTTGCCGATGTGAATCTCCACGTGTGACTCATAAAAATGGGGTCTCACGTGCGGGAGAGTGTTGGAACTCATTGTTGTCCCACATCGGCCAGAGGGCCAAAGAGAAAGTAGTTTAAATAGAAATACCCCTCTCTAACTAACACCGAGGCCTTTTGTGATAAAACCTCACACCTGAGGATTGTGCAGGTGGTAAAGTGGGGACAGTATCAGTGTTGTTGGAGTGGGCCCTTGGCTTGTTAACCTGGAAAATTTGATAGTATTGTTTTTGTTCCTTTGTCCTCCAAGAGAAGCTCTTCTTTTGTCTTATTTATGTAGATTTATCTGGTCTGAGGAAGGGTTGGATGTGAGTTAACCAGACCTTCAGAGACCCCTAAAGCATGAGAAATATTTGCAACCTTAAGTTTTAAATTTCGTGGCGAGAACTATTTCAAGTATGAATTTGGTTTTTTCTTTTGTCAAAACCAACCTTAACTGAATTTAAACATTTGCAACTAATTACTCTGTTCTGCCTTGCTAATGATAATATTATTTTATGTTGGTCTACCATCCAGAGATAGCGAAAGTCAACTGCTCCGAACTACAGTCCATATACTCCAATAGGTGTTGATGTGTTTGTATGCCCCAAAAAGATACATCACATTGCCCAGCATCTTGAGCTTCCCAAAGTGAAAGCAAATGGGAAAGTGTTCATTGTAAACATACATGTATTTTTTCAGAATTGATTTATCTTGTTATGTTTTGTTTGTTATATTTTGGCAATATCTAATGATATTGCTCTGCGCCTTGTTGCAGTTGCCTACTTATCCTGCTGCAATGTATCTTGGTGATAGTGATGGAGAGGGGATGAGTCTTGTAATGTATTTCAAAGTTTCTGAGAATTTTGATAAAGACATCTCTCCTCAATTCCAGGACAGCATCAAGGTAACTTCATTTTGTACGAACTTCATCCATTTGGATATGCATGTACTTTATTCTAATGTACTCTCCCTAATGGAAATGTGATCTTATGTTTTATTGGAACACTCAGTCTGTTGATATATTTGAATGACACTCTCAGAAAATGGTTGACGATGAGACGGAAAAAGCTAAAGGATTTGCAAAGGACTCCACTGTACCTATTTGCCGGATCAGACCTCTCTCGAGGAAAGTTTCCTATGCCGACGAAATGTCGTCGGGAGATGTTTTTTTAAATAGTAAGTATAAACTTAGTATCTTTCGATCAGTAAATTTTTATTTTAAATTTTCTTTTTAGTAATTCAATAAAATCTTAGCCTTATTTAATCGCTTTCATTAGTAATTATGTTTTAATCATTATTTATTTTGTGAATAATTAGTATTAAATATTTTAATTAACTTCATAAATAGTAATTGGTTTTTTTAATTTTTTTTCTTTAAAAAATACTTAAATACTAATTATTCACTAAGTAAATAATAATTAAAGCATAACTACTAAATAAAGTAATTAAAAAAGAGAAATTCAGATTATGATATTTCAAGGGTATAGCCGTGCGGCTATAGGTTTAAAATATTATGTTTATGGAGCCTTACAAAAACAAATTTATGTCCGGAGTGCTAAATTGAATCAATAAATTTGTGATCCTGAAAATACTCTAGTAATTCGCTAACTCACTTAAGAAGTTATTTTATTGCTTGTGTACATATCCACATGACATGCTGATATGATTTATCAAAATTTTCACAAATTATTATAATTCGTGCACAATAGTTATAAAATCCAAATTTTACAAAAAAAGAAGGAACAATAAGAGAAAAAATCGCAGCCAAAGGTAGTTCACATGGTAGATCCAAAGATTCCAACGAAGATGAATCCATTATCCCAGAAAGGTTAGGACGGTGGTTCAAATCTATTGGACAAGGAGTATAGCCGTGCGGCTATACTCGGTTGTTTCCAAATATAGGCTTAAAATAGTGCTTCAACGGGGCTAGACTCGGGCACTCGTCACTTTGAACGTCTAGGGCACTGAACAAGCTCGTTCCAGGTTACGAGCTGGGTTCGAAAAATCGGCCTAGGCGCTAGGCGGGAGGACACCGACACCAAGGAGTTAGTCGGCGCCTAGGCGGCCTGGGCGGTTCTAGGTGGCTTGGGGGGCTGGGCGCCAGGGCGGGTCTTGTCCCTTTTTTCCCAAATGAAGACAGACGAAGCTTGCTGGTGCGAAGGAGCAAAGGTGACATGTATATAGTGTGTGATTAGGAGGAAAGGTGACATAAAATAAGGAAAGGCATAAGAAATGAGGGGTTTGTTTCGTGTGAAATGAAAGGAAGAGATAGAAAACTGTGTTTCTGTTGTTGAGAGAGTGAGAATTGGGAGGCAAATCGGCCTAGGCGCTAGGGGAGAGGGAGGACACCGACACCAGGGAGTGAGGCGGCGCCTAGGCGGCCTGGGCGGATCTAGGCAGCGCCTAGGAGGCCTGGGTGGTTCTAGGCGGCCCCTAGGCGGCCTGGGCTGATCTAGCCGACCTGGGGGGGCTGGGCTAGGGCGGGTCGTGTCCTTTTTATATCCAAATGAAGACAGACGAAGCTTGCTGGTGCGAAGGAGCAAAGGTGACATGTATCTTTCCGGAAGGCATGAGAAAAATGTAAAATTTACAGTTGTCGTTGGGTCGAGAAGTTTCAGTCTCAAACGTTCAAGACCCTTCTTCAAGCTTCCTTTCCAGAATCCTATAAGTTAACCTATATATTGCATAATGGTCAGTGCCTGGCTCACCAAGCAATCCCGAAGTTCTAATTGGCAACCACTGTAATTTCGTATATTTTCTTTCTGTATTAGCTTTTAGCAATCACTATGTCTTCAAATTTTTCTTTGTCCTCTTCATCACCTTTGCTATCAACCAAAGCTAGGTCTTCAATCAAAACATATGTCACTGCCCCGTGCTCAGCCACTTCCTTCACGGTGGCATAGGCTGCCCGTGGTGAGAGCTCAGGCTGGTGGAGATGGCCAGCTGGACGTGCAAGTCAATCGGGGCAATCAAGGAACTGAAGTCGAGAGGAGGCCATGGAGGTTGGCTGTCGACATTTCACCTTTTGTTAAGTGTCACAATCTCTCATAAGTTGTTCTTTAATTGAATTCTGATTTGTTTGAACAGAGGAAAATTAGACAGGAGGTTCTTAATGTTTATTTAGTGGTTTCTTTGTTTCTTTAAAAATCACCGTCAAACTTGTTTGCTTAAAAATGAGTTTTAATATTTTTGCAGGTTTATTGGATCCCATCTCCCCAGTGAGGACCATGCGCCAAATGCTGGACACAGTGGACAGGCTCCTGGAGGACACTGTGACATTGCCAGGCAGAAACAGAGCATCAGGGGAAGTACGTGCGCCTTGGGACATAAAAGATGATGAACAAGAGATCAAAATAAGGTTTGACATGCCGGGCCTCTCCAAGGAGGATGTCAAGGTGTCTGTAGAAGATGATGTTCTTGTTATAAAGGGAGAGCACAAAAAGGAAGAAAGTGGTGATGTTTCATGGTCGAGCAGGAGCTTCAGCTCCTATAAGCCTTCTCTGTTTGTATTCTGCTCTAGGGTTTGTGGCTTTTTATTTTGCGTGCTCTTTTGGTCTCTTTCATTGTGCTTTCTTGCAATGTACACAGTTGATTCTAACAAAATATAAATAATAAACCCCAATTATATATACATACATATATCTCAACCCCAATTAGTATCAGCTTCATCCCAAAATGCCTCCGCATTTAGGAACTTGATTGCTGGAGTGATGAAAATTTTGGCTCACCAATGCTTGTGCCAGTATTGGTCAAGGCCTCTATTAAAATAACACCCCTTTGGATTGCCTCAGCCCACATCAGTAAGCATGTAAAATGGAAAACAGTAAGCCAAATTATTAATCACATTTGAGAAGAGTCAAAAAGCATTATTTCATTCTCTTACCACCTAAGATTTCAACTTGAATTGTTTAAGAAAATGTGTAGAAAGTACGCGCAAACACTTTTTATTAATTTATTGTTAACCATATATTATATATAGATTTGTGTCTGCCGAGTGATTACCAAGTAAGAACTACCTAACAACAACTGCACAAAAGATGATGATGAAACAGGACTGGAAAAATATTCATGGCCATTCAGTACGTGTTTCGCAAGAAAGCACTAAACTGATTCAATTCCATAATCTACAGTATATAATTATAGCATGCAGGGGGCGTCTATGAGCCTCTCTTTCTTATCTGGCGAAGTAAGTTATGGTTATGAACAAAACGCTGGAAAGTAACTTTACTCGCTTCCTTCAAGTTCAGGGATGGATTCAAGCTTCGGCTTCCAATTTGTTGAAGAATCATTAAAAGAACATGATTTCTGTTCAAGCCCTGAAACTGAAAGAACCTCCTGCACTGATATTTTCTTTGGCAATAGCTCTTGAATTCTGCATACATGAATTCTGCATTCAGGCACATTACTCGCAGTTAGAATTACCAATCTGTGATTACGTCACAGACTTGAAGTCAGTATTGGATCAAAGTATACGAATCATCCAGGCCATGATAGATATACGTGCTAATAGTGGGTGGATTTCAAGCTCAATTACTTGCTTGCATCCTCTGCAAATGGTCGTGCAGGTATTCTTCTTAGTAGTTACAATTCTGACTTCTTAGTAGTAGTACCTGCCTAGAATAAAAGACGAGTTCTTGTGCGAATTGGGCATTCTGCCTTGTTTATATTATTACATTCTACAGCTAGCATATCAGTTGATTAGTTAGAGATGTTAATCGGGGATGCTGAGCACCCATGAATGTTGTTAGCCCATGCTTCTTTCCTGTATTGTCTATCTTGTATAGTGTTGTTAGAAGGGCCACTTTGGAATTTAGCCATATATATTTTTGTCTGTAAGGACAATGTGCATCACTTGCACTTAAATGTTACACCAATTGTTTCTGAAAAAGGTGAAGCTTTGATTTATCTAATTATTTATTTTTAACTATTACTCTTTGACTCGTATGATTTGTTCCTTAAGAAAGTAGAGTTTTCACCTCCTAGCCTCTTCTCATATCTTTTGGGTTCTTTTCAGGGTTTATGGTTTGATGGGGATTCTTCCTTATGGATGATGCCATGCATGAATGTTGAACTTGCTGACTCGCTAAGCAAAAGAGGAATATTCTAAACTAGTAATGAGAAACCAAACTGAGCTTCAGATTCTCTTTTACAGGTGAAAAACGAAGCATGGTGGTTGGTCCTTGGGGAACACCTCAACATGGGAATTATATGCTCTCATAAGAGTATCTTTCTCTGATCACTTGGTTACTCACATGGAGTTACCATCAGTTCCTAAGACTCTCCAGGTACTATGTGGCCATTTCTTGCTTTGCTTGCTAACATTTGTTTTACCGTGCTTTCCAGGGGATGAAATTGATTTTAATTTCAGATTGTTATCTAAGGTTCGAGCAAGAGCATTCTATTTCACAACTTATTGAACTGCAGTAACCAAAGGAAGATATATTATTAGTAAGATACATTGGACCTTAAGGTGTATATCAGTAAATATTCGAATATATTTACAAAGTATAATCGCGCGGCTATACTGTTTAAATATATATTTCCTTCTTTATGTATTTGAGTGAGATTGAGTAGTAGTTGTGAGTTGAGTCTCTATACTCGTTAAAAATTAAATATGTGCGGCTATTGCAGCAAGAGAATGAAAAGCTATCAACTATGGTAGATTTTTACTCTAAGGACATGCAAGAGCAGTTGGAGGCCCTAGAGCGACCGGGTAAATGTGCGCAAGGAGATCCAAGTTTTGCTAAAGCTAAGAAAGTGATCTTTGGAAGCTCAAGTGAAGAGCCCCAAGAAGCGGTGTGAGAGATGAGATCCAGATGGCCAAACTAAAGTCTTCTATTGTAGAATCAGGAAGCGCGTCATGATGTTGTTGTTGTTTTTTTTTAATTTTTTTAAAAATTAAAGTAGTCCCTTGTTTCCTCTTTTTTTTTTTTTTAATGTGAAACAAATATTTTTCTAAGGGTTGATTGGTGATTTGCCCCCTGAACTTGTACCTAGCTTTCAATTAAACCCTTATCCTTTGTTTTTATTTATAGAAAATTAAGGATATGAACTTCTTTTTTTCTCCAATTTTCCCCCACCCGTCTAGATCCTCAACATTTCATCCAATTTTCAGTTAGGGTTTAGGGTTTAGGGTCTAGGGACCCAATGTAACATAACATGATGATTCTATGTTATTGAGTTAATACTTTATTTTTAATCAATTCATATTCCTTGTTTCATTCATTATTATAATTGAGATCTTGATACTTGTAATTGGCCATTATAGGTATTTTGGATTGTCTAAGATACGGTTGGGCAAGGGGTTCATCCCTAATCTTATATGCACTATGAATGAATGAGTTGTTGTCAAAGCCGGGGTTCAAACTAAGACACTTCTTGGTTCTTGATTGTTCTTCGTAAACTTAATGGGTTCTCAATTAAATTTGGCTATGCGGTTCATGAGTTGGGTTTAATTGAGGATACTTGGTGACACCACGGCCAAACGAATCATCATAATAAAGAAAGAACGAACCCTTAGAATTGAATTGGAACTTTATTCTCAAAATTTACTCAATATATAGAATAGGATTGTTATGGTAAAGTCAGAATCCTAGTTTTCATTCATTGATTTTCAAAACTAATTTCCAACCTTTGTTAATTTTATTTTTTTGATTTTCAACACTTAGATTAAAATTGAGTATTCTTATTTTCAGCTATTTTAGTAGTTTTAATATTTTGTTTTATTTTCTATATTTCTTAAGGTATTCATGTTTGGAATTAATAGATAAACTTTACAAATCACTGTGAGAATGACTCTCGTATTTACTTGCTATACTATCATATCTATTCATGCACTTGTGAGGTATAACTTTTGTTCATCAGTCACTGAAGAAGATTTACCCATTTTCAATATATAGTTCCTTGGGTAAATTACTTAAATGGTCTTTAAACTTATACCAGATTTACATTTTGGTCCCTTAATTAAATTATTCGTTCAAATGATTCATCAACTCTATATTATTCACTCCATTGGTCCTACCATTATATTATGTCAATATTTCCATTAAATATGGGGGCAAATTGGTCATTTCGTCCATCAACTCTTCTTCTTCTTCTTCTTCTTCTTCTTCTTCCTCCCAATCTGACGGAATTGGCTGGCTCCTTTTCTTCAATTTTTTCTAATTTTGTATTTATTTTAACCCTATTTTTATTTGTTAATTATGAAAAGTCATATTTACCCTAAAATTTGGTTAAATCTAATAGAAAATTTGACGGTGGATCAATGGAGCGAATGATATAGAGTTGATGGACCATTTGAACGAATAATTTAATTGAGGGACCAAAATGTAAATCTAGTATAAGTTTGAGGACCATTTGAGTAATTTACCCATAATTCCTTTGTACTTTTGTTTGTTGTTCATCAATAATATACACTTATTTTAAAAAATGAATGAATTTTTTAAATAATTTGTTGATCAAATTATCCCTCAACAACTAAGAGAAGTTAAAAAAAATTTGACAAAAGTTGAGGATTGTCCTTAAATTGCTTCAAATTGAAACAACATGGACAAAATTGACCAAATTGAAATGACATGGACCATATTGGTAAAAATGACAAACTATAGGGACCAAAAGTGACTTTTTGCCTAACATATATTATCTATTGATGACAAAATGTGGTTCAACTTAAAATTGACTGACCTTCGACCACTAGAATTCTTCGGTTAGACTGGGTTTGGTTTGCACAACAAGGACAAGATTGGTGAGAACTTGGCATTGATTTTGTACCAGCTGAAGTCACTCCGATGCTTAAGTTGGCATAAGTATTGAGTGAGTAAGCAATTCAGCAGAGTAATTGTACACGTGGGAAATTACTATTGCCTCGTGCATTGGGCGAGAGCCGTATTTATACTCAAAATGAAGTGAGGACTCTTGGTAGTTTAGTCAATGTGGGACTTTTGTCCTAGCAAGAGGTTCTAACACGAGTCTTTTTTTTGGGATGGAAATGCCCTTTCAAAGGCACGACAGGTGTTGTACATGTGGAAGGCGAGTGCTAGTGCCATAGATTGTGCCAATCAGTAATCAAGGTCCTACCAATTTGTAACTCAATGCTTGCTTGAAGCTGCTTATCATGTTTAGCTGACGTGGTGTCCCTGCAATCCAAACTTAATCTGCAAATACCACCTTTACCCACACATTTTGCAAATACAACCTATAAATACATAGTTATTGTCCACTTAACACTTTTTCTCACTTTTTCTTTTCTCTGTTAGCTCTCTCGCAATTCTCTCTTCCTCTCTCAGCATGCTCTCTCTCCATCGTCACTCCACGACCACCACCATTCTCTCTCTACTAGCTAACTACGCATCTTCACACGAAGAAGAAGATCAAGAGCAACCTACAAAACTCTCAACTTTACCCTCAAAACCTAGTTCTTCCTCTTCTTCTCTGTTTTCTTCTTTACCCAAACCCAAACCCCAACTTCATCTCTTCGAATCCATTCTGCAACCTAAACAAACCCAAACAAAACCATCTTTTATGAATATGACAGCATGTCTTGGCATTAGGTGGCCATTGTTTGAGCATTTTGGTCCAATTTTGGGGGGTTTTGAAGTCAGGGTCTACGTGCCCTCTTCAGGAACAACTTTTTTAGAAAAGGAATTGTTGGGAATATGTAAGTTTTGATGCTAAATTGAATTTGATTACTGAAATTGGAATTGTGATTGATTTCATCCGTATTTTATGTAGAAAGTGAAGTATCAGGATTGATTTTGTTTGTCTAAAACAACAAATGTGTTTGTTCTTTGTCGATTGATTCTTGCATTTGGTATTGGATTTTCTGTAACGACACATATGAACTTGTTATGATTATATCATAATGAGGTAGCATTGTTGATTTGCTATTGCAATTGTATTGTATTGTGGTTTTATTACGGTTGTATTGTAGTGGTATTGCTTTTGTATTGTTGTTACATTGATGTTTTTTTGGTGTTATATTGATATGTTACTTTAATTTAATAGGAATATATGTTGATATCATTTTTCTTTATCTGCTTGTGATTTGTGTAGGAGTTGAGATTATTCTTGGCTGAAGTATTATTTACAATCTCTCTCTCTCTTTGCTCTTTGTATTTTTCTCAACATTTATGTGTTAATTTAATGCCTAGTATTGTTTTGGAACCATAATCATTGTCAATCTCATTGTTTCTTTAAAAGATTGCTGTGAAATTGTTACTCCATGTTCTTCTTTCCTTTGTTTTAAGATATTTTTGTTTGGAGAAAAAGAACTTCGTTTTTGGAACCCCGACTTCAAAGCCCCTAGAATTGGACCAAAATGCTCAAACAATGGTCACCTAATGCCAAGACATGCCGTCATATTTAGAAAAGATGGTTTTGTTTGGGTTTGTTTAGGTTGCGGAAAGTATTCGAAGGGAGACGAAGTTGGGGTTTGGATTTGGGTTGAGAAGAAAACAGAGAGGAAGAGGAAGAACTAGGTTTTGTAGGTTGTTCTTGATCTTCTTCTTCATGAGAAGAGACATAATTAGCTAGCAGAGAGAGTGGTGGTGGTCACGGAGCGACGATGGAGAGAGAGCGTTGAGAGAACTACGAGATAGAGCTCAGAGAGAGATGAGAGAGAAAACAACTCCTGCGGGTGGCATTTGTAGATTAAATTTGACTGCAGGTGGCATTCAGCAGTATTTCCCAAAAATCTACTTTTGCAAGATAACTCGTCTGTTCCCACAGGTCACTTGGGAGGAAGGACGCCATTGGGAACAACTCCTGTACCCTTTACTCTGTAGGAGATATTTTTGAAAATGGGGCATCTTTCCTCAAAACAGGTCTAGATGGAGCAAAGTCAAAATATAACAGGCAACAAATTTTCCAAGTTGCTGATGCCAAATCTGTGCAGTCGTTGACAAAGGTCATCGGGTGCTCTAACATGCACCAAAAGATCTAGATGCTAAGCAGCCTCGGGCTCATGGAGATATGATAGGGATATGAGATTTTGTGCTAAGAATAAATTTTCCAAGTTACTTCCACAAACATTGCATTCAGTAAATATAGGTATATGAGATTTTGTGCTAAGAATAAATTACTATGTAATGAAGAAAAAAGAAAAGAAAGAAAAAAAATTGTGCTCCATCAGAGTTGTTTCTTTAATCCTCTTCATTGTCAGAACTTGCATATGTTAATCCTAACAAGCTTTTGGCTGTAGTTTTCCCTTCAGGCTCGCCCTTTATTCTGTGTGACGACGACACGTGCACTTTATCCTTCACTTGGTCATTTTCAGATTCAAGATTTGTCGAAGCACTAACAATCAAATTTGGGTGGGACTGATTACCATCAGATCTGCTTGAAACTTTATGCCGCTTGGGTTTAATTTCGATGACCTTTTTCAGTAGATCTTGCTGTCTGCATTTCAAAAACCAAAAATACACATACATGAGAACTAGTAGGGAACTTGAACATGTCAATCAGAAAAATCACTGGCTATAGCATGTCAGTTCTATTATTTGGTTTGAAGATAGTCATACCTGATCCCACTCTTTTGCTTGGGCTCAACACGAAGTGGCAAGGGAACCGATGCAGGTGAAGAATCTGCCAGACTTGCAGCTTTGTGTTCATTGGTTAAGGAAGACAAGACAGAAGAGGGAGAGGAGAGAGATTTAATAATCCAATGTCTGGAACCACATGACAATAATCACCATTCAATCTCAGAAATTCTAATGCAACAGTTTGTCATGACATGAGGACAGCACCAAGGGAGCTAATAATATTTTACCAAGACTGGGAAATATTCAAAATATTATTTCTGAAGTGGTCATTAACATACAGTGTTAATGAAAGTAAGTATATATATATGTTAAATGATTAGTATGAAGCAAAACATACAGATGATATCACATTAGAATATAAAATAAGTAGGTAAAATTTGACCTACGCCCCCTCAACTTAGGGTCTCTCTTGCTTTGCCAACTGAGGGGGCATATGTGTATATTTCCCAAGCAAACATATACTACAAGACAACTTGATAATCTATTTGGGAATGAGCAAACAGGGAGTTACTTAGACAAAAATTCCTCTAACAGGTGTAAAATACGACCTACTAAGAATAGAAATCAACCCTAAATCATCATCACCTAATGTGCATATGACCACTGAATTAAGTTAGGCGGGACATAACAATTAAGATTAATTGAAAAGAATCACATAAAGGAATAAGATAAACGATGGCATTTAAGTTCTACAGGAATATGCACTAAAATGCTCATAACCAGCAACTTACGTGCAGACTATGCATGCAGAGAGACTAGAAGAAATTTCATGAAAGGATATCTTAAATGCAGCAAATGCTCGTTTCTCAGTGCGGCGAAGGAGGCGCTCTGCATCCTCCTCAGCTTCCATCTGCTCCTTGAGATATAGTAGGTCATCACTGTCCAAGGCTGTATACTCAAACTTACAACAGATTGCGATAAAGTAAAGAGCTAAACAAACACAGATTCAGAAAGCAGTTGCCTTGTGCCTGGATACACACACACAAAGCGAGAGAGAGAGAGAGAGAGAGAGAGAGACTGTATACTCAAACTTACAACAGATTGCGATAAAGTAAAGAGCTAAACAAACACAGATTCAGAAAGCAGTTGCCTTGTGCCTGGATACACACACACAAAGCGAGAGAGAGAGAGAGAGAGAGAGAGAGAGACTGTATACTCAAACTTACAACAGATTGCGATAAAGTAAAGAGCTAAACAAACACAGATTCAGAAAGCAGTTGCCTTGTGCCTGGATACACACACACAAAGCGAGAGAGAGAGAGAGAGAGAGAGAGAGAGGTACCGCCTCGGCCATGAAGGTATCCTCCACGTTCCCCTGCAACCTCTTGCATCTGGCTTGCATCAACCACCCAGTAGAAGAAGCCAAGATCCCTGCCAGGGCATGTTATCAGAAAACTCCCCACACTTTCAAGCAAACAGTCATAGATGTGAGTCCTCCCCTCGAATATTTGGGTTTACCAATGGGAAAATTGTGCCTTAATAAAGAGCAATGTGAAAGTCAGAGGTTGGCAGGGGCGTGGGGCTATTGAGTAGTGTTGTGGCCACTCAAATATTTGGGTCTACAAATGCGAGGTAATCCGAGATCCGATAGGTTCTGGAATTAAACGATCGAGAAGGTTGAGAGGTGTTTGCAGAGCTGGAAAGGAGCTCTCTTGTCAAGAGGGGGCAATTTAATTCAAGCAGTTTTGGGAAGTCAACACTAATTCCGTGCGTAAGGAAGAAGGTGCAGTCTTTTGTGGGCAGGTGTAGGGGAAAACAAAACCACAGGCGTGTCCAAGATAGCCACATGAACTACAGACCTATCAAGATTACAGCATTCCAATCTAAATAAATAATACAAAAGCTACTCTAAATTCTAACGAAGTAGAAGCCCACAATGATGTGCATAATCGAATCCGATCCCATAACTTCTCAACCTCATCCCCTTTAGCATCCTCAAAAACTCTCCTAGTTCTCTCCCGCCAAATCAATTTTCAATGACTAACTAATTCTAGTTGCCCTTATAAATAAAAAGCATAACTGAACACAAAGATGTAAAATAGCTATCATTCATATAAGAGATCTCAGCGCTGAGCAACTAATGCAAAATATATTCCACGATACATAATTTGATAACTGCAATAGCTATCATTTCATATAAGAGATCTCAGCGCTAAGCAACTAATGCAAAATATATTCCACGATACAAAATTTGATAACTGCAATTATATGGATTAAGAGAAATAGGGATCTAGCTGAATATAATGTCCGCTGAATATAAAAAATAATTATAAAAAATATTCAGCTAGATCCCTTAAGACAAATTCAGCTAAATTTTATAAATGTAAAAAATAATAACAATATTAATTTGGGGCTTGAATATTTGTGAGAAAAATGTAGTATTATATGGATGAAGAGAAATAGGGAAATAGTGAATATGAAATGAGAGGAGAGGTGAGATTGGATAGTAAGAAAGAATAATATAAAACAAGTACAAGTGCTAATAAATACACAAAAAAAAAAAAAAAAGAGTTCACAACAAAAGCTGTGTGGTGGGTGGTTAGGGTGCTGTCCATCATACAGGAGTGCATGGTTTCGAATCTTGATGTGCGCGAATATTTTTCTACCATTTTGGTGAGGAGATTAAGTCGCGATATTATTGAATTTTGACGATAATGTCATGATATTATCGAAAATGACCAATTAAAGTGTATTGGAAGGAAAATATCGGATCTCGAAATTTCGGCAATATATCGACGATAAAATCGAAAAAAACCCTGATAAATAGATAGTATACTGCTAAAATATTGGGCCCTAAAACAGCGAAATTATCGTTGAAATTGTCGATATTTAATACTATTATTATCATGAATACTATTTTGGACGCAGATAGCAAAAATTTGATGTCACACAATGAATTTCCAACGTTGCCTAAAAGCTCTGAAGGCCAAAACGTATGAATGCCAGTGGTGGTGGTGGGGAGTGCACAATTTTTGCTCATTTCAACCTAACAATTTTTTACTAAGCGCAGTGTAGAATCCAAAAAATGGAATTGTAATAGTTGAAATGTTTAGCCAATTAGATATTTGAGAAAAAATAGATTACAAATCCTATATATATTAGAATTGAAATTGAAATTTCAAATGAAATTGTATTTCTATCAAAAGAATGCAAAACTTGAACCCTATTATTTCCTTCTTCCAAGAACTAATCGGCTTCAAATAAAAAGAGGAGAATAAGAAAAAACAAGAAAAAGACGGAAAAAATGCGCTAACCTTGGCAACCATGCGTTGGAATGTGATGTCTTCGTCGTCTATCTTATCCTTCCCTTTCCCCCATTTCTTATCTGCCACAATCAATTCAAGAACGATTAATTGATCAAATTAAAACCAGAAAACAATTAACAACTTGAGGAAAAAAAAAAACCTTTTGGGTCGGAGAGATTGGTGTACTCTCGAACTTCTCTGCCTGCCATTGCCCTCACTTTAAAATAAACGATATATGATTATGACAATTTCTTAAAGCGGAAAGTTTCTCTTGATTCAGAAGAGTAAAGCAAAAGGCTGCACCATAAATAAAACGAGGAAGAAAATTCACAAAGCCACAGTAATACGATAATACAAAGATCAATAAAAATTTCAAAATCAGAAAGCAGGAGCTTTCTTTCTTCCTCTCTCTCTCTCTCTCTTTTTTTTTTTTCCAAGTAAATCCATTTTTTTCCTAGCTCTCTTTCTACATATCGAAGATTTGGTCCCATCCACCTTCACATTCTCAGCCACATCATCATACTTTTCAAAATGATCCCATACCTCTGATTTTTCTATGGATGATTAACTAGTCCTGGAAGGAGGTTATTGTGGAAGACCACTCTATTGAGGTGGTGTTTGGGCTTAAGGTTGGGACTGAGTTGGTGTTTGGACTTGAGGTTGGGGAATTGGTATAGTAGGTGATGGTGAGGATGTGGATGCAGAAGAAGAAAATGCTTCATTACTACTAGGCAAATGTTCAAATTGTTGTGGATGCGGAACAAGAACATGCTTCATTACTAGGCAAGTGTTCAAATAGGTCAATCTCTCCTTTAATAAAAACAGAAACTAACCAATAAAAACAGACCTAGCATGCAGCATAACCTATTTAACAAAAAGAAACATAAACATAATTACTACAGTAGCATAACAACAGAAACGCAGCAGCAGAAACAGAACCTAGTAGTTTCATAGAACCTAATTTCATAGAACAGAAATTAATTTAGCAAAACAGAACCGCCAAGGACAGAACCAAATAATCACAATAGTATAATTTAACAGAACCTAATTGGTAGCAGCCCTAATTAGTATAACGAAACTAACAGTTCATAATTTCTTTGTCAATTTCAAATGATCATCACAACACAGCATAACCTAATTGGTAGCAGCCCTAATTCGACAACCCTAAACCCTTAACAGAAAAATTATATCATCACATCAACCTCAACCACCAAATCGACAAGCCTAATTTAAAAGAAAAAAAACCATTAATTTAATTTAGAATAAATCCTAAATTCAAAGGAAGATGATGCTCTCACCTTTAACTGATATGAGAGGAATAGATGTTGTCGGCGATCAGAAACTGAGACTGAGAAACAAAGAAAAATCGAGATAAGAACAGAGAGCAAAGAGAGAGTTAGCGGAGCAAAGAAGGGATGGGGAAAAAATAGAACAGATAAGAGAGAGAGAAGCTGACTTCCGTGCAAGGATGGAGGCGGCGCAGTGGCTGATCGAAGTAGAGAAAATAGAGAGAGAGAGAGAGAGAGAGAGGAATGAAAACCTAACCTAACTCGCGCATAGGGCTGATTTGGGTGTAATCTTGTGCTTCCCGACCTATTCCTATTGTCGTCTCTACAAACATCGAATTAAAAACTGCCACATGCATTAAATATAATATCGAATTAATCAATGTACTGGCCTTTTTGCACGCGCTTCCGTGTCTGTGATAAGTTTTTTTAAATTTATTTTAGAATTAAAAAAGATAATGGGTAGTTGTGTTTCATAAAAATATGATCCATTATTTAATTTTTCTTTTAATTTTAATCTTTTTTAATATGAAAAAGTGTGAATTTACCATATTATCCTCATTTAATTAATAATTTCAATTCTTAATGTTTGCATTTCATTTCTGGTATTTTGAATGTTTTACCATTCTCTGCCTTTTGCTTTATATATATAGATTTTAGGAAAAATAATGTCATTATTGATATCATTGTTATAAACCTAGATATAAGGCCTTCTCCAATCCTGGGGCTAAACCCAAAAAATCCCAAAATTTGGCCCGAATTAATCTCCAATGCATGTATAGGGAGGGGGGAATTTTAGGCAGACTGATATGTGGGGCTGTATTTGGCCCAGCTTTCCAGTCCATGCGGAATTGTTGTGGGGCCCAATTCGCATCAAACCAAGGAGCCACGTGAAGACCTCAGCTACATGGACCACCTATCACCAACATGCTCATGCTGCTTGCGCCACTTGTCAAACCCAGAACAACTATTTGTTTCAATCCAACGGCTGCATTAAGTTGCTGTGTCAAATTTTTTTTTTTTTCATTCTGCATATAACCAATGGCCAGGATATTTTTAAGCGATCTCAATGGGAAAAATTCACATCCAATGGCTGAAATTTAAATCCAACGACAAAATTAATTTTTATTATTACTCTAAATCAGATTCAACCCAAAATAATTTTGTGATTATCATTTATCTTAATATGTTTTGATTTTTAAGTGAAATTATATTATGTTTCGGATTTTGAAATTTTTTTAGGTTAAAATGTTCAGAAAATTAAATCACAAATGTTGAAATAAAAATAATGTTAAGAAAAATTAACCAAAAAAAATTTAGGGGTTAACCATTTTTAAACAAGTTAATAAAGTTGCGGACTCAAATTATGAGTATGTATGGTTGGAGGAAAAAATAATTTGAGTCCGGGCAATACATGAATAGTTTTATTTTTAAGGTGAGAAATTTGGGTTTAGCCCCATTTGGGTTGGAGATGGCCTAATGGATGCCTACCATAGCAAATTATACCATACCAATAAATACGTACCATGAATCACCCCAATGACCCATCATTGTATTTATAAAATATTAGTGAATAGTGTAATCCATATGCCTATAAAATACAAAGTATCAAGTATGAATGAAATATAATAGAAGAGAAGAAGTTCATGGTTAAGCTCTTGAGAATTGTTCTTCTACAATTGCTTTCTATTCCTCTAAATTCCCTCTACAATCCCCTAATTTTATAATACGTTATTAGCATGAATCTCTCTAAATACCAGTTGAGATATTCGATGAATTTTCATATTTTTTTTCCCTTCAAATTGATCACTCATAGCCTTTGTTTTAGCTAACCCTAGCTCAAGGTACAGATAGATATTGTTGAACCGGTTCAGTTTTTTTCATTAATGTTTCAGTAAACTTTTGTGTCCCCTTGAATCCTGAATCTCTAAATTGAATTCTCAGATTTTTTTAACATCAAATTGACTACTCCTAGCTTTTGCATCAGCCAACCCTAGCTCACGGTAAAGACTGGTATTGCTGAATCGATTTAGTTTGTTTCATTTATATTTTAGTAGATCTTTTGTGTCCCCTTAAATCCTCAATCTCTAATTTGAATTCTCATATTTTTTAACATCAAATTGAACACTCCTAGCTTTTGCTTCGACCAATCCTAGCTCATATGACAGATTGGTATTGTTGAGCAAGTTCAATTTTTTTCTTTTATGTTTTAGTAGATCTTTTATGTTCCCTTGAATCCTCAATCTCTAATTTGAATTCACATATTTTTTTAACATCAATTCGACCACTCCTAGACTTTGTCTCAGCAAACCCTAGCTCACGGTACAGACAGGTATTGTTGAACTCGTTCAATTTTTTTCATTTACACTCTTGCAAATTTTTTGTGTCCCTTGAATCCTCAATGTCTAATTTGAATTCTTATATTTTTTAACATCAAATTGAACACTCCTAATGACAAGACCCGCTCCGAATTTCTCGGAACTCGAGACGAATCCTGTGGAAATTCCGACATCACACCGATGTCGGGCCCACTTACTAAAAATTTAGCCTCTTTTCCAAATTAAGGGAAAAAAGAGCACGAGACTTTCTATCGAAATTTTGGCAGAGTCTCCCTTGTAAATTGGACTTTTTCCCAAAATCTTCCAACCTGTAGAAACACATTTTAAAACACCAACTGACAGCATGCACAAGTTAACAACATGCAATCACATAATAGGCCTCCGGCCTTCAGATAATTCGAAACAGAACCAACAATGTTCTTAAGTCAATTAATATATAAACCATACCATTTATGATCTTAAACAACTATACGATTACCCCCAAAATCATTAAACCGGATTCAAATCCCACAACCACAATAAAATCCATTCATAAATTTAGAATCGTTCAAACCTTTTCAAGTATAGTTTATTTCGCGACTGCACCTAGGTGGGACCCCAGGCTACCTACGTACCCTTAGACAAGGGATCAAGCCACACGTAGTTCTTATCCCAACAATCACAATTCCAATTTCGACAAAACACAATTAACACATTCTCAATCTCTTTCTTTAAGTCAGTTCAATCCCGCAACCATATCCTATCCAAGGCGTATGTACATTGAACACATTATCAATTTCTTCCCTCTATATCAGTTCAATCGTGCAACCATACCCTATCCAAGGCGTATGTTGCCGTACAACACTTCCCAATCCATGGCTCTGTCTGCCGCGCAAATCTCACGGCCTGGAGTTCCGGGCCGAGGGGACGTGCGTTAACACGGGGTTTCCTGCTTTTGGGTGTGGTGCGGTTGTGCGCGGGCGTGCCAGCACGGTTTACCGTGCGTTGATGTTTTAGTGAATGGTGCGCCTGTTTGATCTGTCTTCTTGGTCAAACGATTGTAGCCGAGAGAGGAACTGGTCTCGGCTGTTAGGTTCACGGCCTGAACTACAAGGCCGTTGAGTGATGGTGTTGGTGGTGGGTTTTGGGCGGTGCTCCGGCGTGCTGCTCAGGGAGCGACGATCGTATGATATATGAGGTGAGTGAGCGAACAAACAGAGATGGTGCTCCGGCGCCTTGAAAATCAAGGGTCGTATAATATATTGATGAATGGATTCTGCTTACAACCTAACACTACTCCTAGGAAAGCAAGTAAAGATATTGAAAGTGCATTACAGAAGAAAATAAGTTGCTTCGTGGGAGGCTTGTTTTGGTGTTTGAACCCTTTGAAAGTAGCTCGAGTCTTGTATTTATAGGAAGAGTCCCTGGATGACTAATCGAGGCTGAATTTACGCATAGTGGAGTCTGATTAGCGCAAGTGGGCAATCCAATCGACATTTGGGATCGTGAAGTATGGTGATGAGACCCCAGAAATCCTGGTGAATCTCGGCCGCCGCGCTCAATCGTGGGTTTTGAACCTCTGGCCGTGGAGACGCATTTATTGCCTAGATAGCTGGTGAACCAACATCTCAAGCTGTCAGAATCCTTGTGAGAATGTCCACGTCTAATCACTCTGATCTTCATCACCAAATCCTGACTTCAGTCACTTCCCACCTTCCCTCATGCATTAAATGCTACTTTGTGGCCAATAGGTTTCGCTGCATTAAACAGGCACTACTTCATTAAATGAAGCCTGGGACCCTGCTGTCACGTGATGATTTGCCTTTAATGCCTTGGCCGCAAATTTGTACGGCCTCGGCCTCGGTCTATGATTGAGGCCGAGATGATCGTGCCTTAGCATTTCCTTCTTTTATTTTTAAGAAGGCGAAGTACCCTGGCGAAACGCTGCGTTTCAGCCTCTGCAAACAAGTGCCAGGGCCGAGATAAAGGGCTCCCTCGGCCTGCTCATGGCCGTGATTTATCAGGCACAAACAGGCTCAAACATTCATACATGTACAGGGTACTCACAAAGTACAAACTCATGAATCTCAACCCAAAATCAAATCCACATAAACATATATGTAAAGTGTACGCCTATACATGAATTAATATACATAGATATATAATAACACCCACCTCTCACCATCATCATGTACCAGGGGAAAACAATCCAACCGGGGATTGTTGACTAGCTCACAATTATCAGCCCTCAAAACGACTATGTGGCTAGGGACGAGCCGTCCAACTGGGGGACTAACTCTCAGCCAGCACGTACGGACGAAGAATCAAGACCCGTATGCCTGTAAACAGTCCTACGCGTGCAGACTACCCAATTAAGGGTCTACAGCGACACCCCGTTAAGGTATGCCCCGGGTTCAGTCATATCCACGTATCCATATCCACTGTATCCAAGTACCAATATCCAAGGGGAGGTACATGTGATGATGCACATCATGTACTCGGGAAAGTGTTGGTTTTAAAACATTTTTAAGAAGTTCATTTGAATATTAAACATGCATTTAATCAAATTAATCGCAGCGGAAGAATATGGTGGTTGTTTAAATTCAAAAACAAAACTTCTTCCAAGTATCTTAAGCCATGAACATTGATATGTTTTTCATAAATGAAAATTCAAGAGAAAGGATAAGATCTAATTACCCTTGAAGCAATTATATGAACCAAGTTGTGTTTTGGTCTTCTCTTGATGATTTTCCTTTGTTGATCTCCTCTTGATCTTTCTCCTCCTTGTGAGCCACAAAAGTATATGGCCTCTAAGTCTCCACACCAATGAAACCTTGAGATGAGAAGAGGTATCTTGAGAATACAAGGATGCTAGTACAAGATTCTCAAGATTGGTTTCAATCTAAACCCCTTTGAAAGAAGATTGTGTTTCACTCTTGAAAAACTC